AATCTGGATTTAAGGCGAATATTAAGCAATATTTATAAAAAGTTTAATTATTAATCCGTTAAAAAATCGCTCGGATGTATTATTTATTATGTTGTCAAGTTTCAAGATATATTAATACTTTTAAACCAAGACAAGCATTTCATTTAATGACTAGAATTACCCTAAATGGTTAGCATGGTTTGATTATGCCCTTATTAATATTTAAACGTGAAATCATAAAATTGTTGTGTTATAGTGTGTACAAGGGGTTACAAAAGTCTCAAGGTAACTTTTAACATTTAATTTTTGTTCCAGTTTTGGAAAAGAGTTTTATTGGGAAAAAACTTAAAAAAACTTTATTTTAATAGGAAGTATCTTTGCTTTGTCTGAGAATTTAAATAATACAGATTATAACTAAAAAATGTAGTGGTCTGTAAGTTTTTTTCACTAAAAAAGAAACCTTTTATTTACTACTTGCATTAACAAAAATGAAATGTAACATTTAAAATGTTAAACATGATAATTTACCTCAACCTTAAATTTGCAACTTTACCGTAAGATTCAAAGGAAAAGTTTTTGGAATGTTACATTGGTAACATTTAATATGAAATGTTATAGTTTTTAAACATTACAATTAAAATATTACAAAAATTAGTTTATTATAAAACAAATTTGAAAAGAGTTTATAAATTAAATCTTTTACGAGGTGTGTTCAGAAAATAACGGAAATTGTTAAATTTCGCGGGTTCGGAGGGTCCGGTTGTCATAAAATTGTCTTTATTATGTTGGTATATATGCCCCCGAAGTATGATAAAAACTTTAGCTGTTTTCATTGTTTACTTTGTCTGTGGCAGCCGCTAAGGTTAAAAGTGTTTTTATGAGCTCGGCGATTTTCGTTCGTTAAAAGAAATGGATCAAAGAATTTGTATCCAATTTTGCTTAAAAAATTAAATAAATTCTGTGAAATGTTAACAAAGGCCTATAGTGAGTCTGCTATAAAACAAGAGTTTACAAGTGGTATAAGAGTTTCCAAGATGGCCCTGAAGACGTTGAAGATGACGAACGCCCCGAACGCCCAAGCACATTAACAACCGATAAAAACATGGAAAAAGTGAAATAAATGGTTATAAACCATCAGAGAAGTCGCTGATGATGTTGGTATATCGATTGGCTCAACCCATGAAATTTCTTAGAATGTTTTGGGTATGAAACGCGTGGCAGCAAAATTTGTTCCAAAATTATTAAATTTTGAACAAAATTTTTGGCCAAAAACAATACTGTAATGATGCCTCAGCCTCCATATTCGCCAGACATGCCTCTGTCTGACTTTTTCCTATTCCCAAAAATAAAGAGAACCTTAAAGGGCCTTCGTTTTGCAAGCATAGATTACATTAAAAGCGCATCGCTGAAAGAACTAAAGGCTATCCCAAAGATCGAGTTTTAGAAGTGTTTCGAGTATTGGAAGAAGAGCTGGCACATGTGCATAATATCCAATGGGGACTATTTTTAAAGGCGGCAATATAAATGTAGACGAATAAATAAAATTTTCAAAAAACATGCATTAACATAAATGAAATGTCATATTAAAGTATTTAAACATTACAATTATAATATTACAAAAATGAGTTTTTTCTCAATATTTTAATTATAATGTTTAAAAAACTTTCAAATAAAAAATTATTGCAATGTTTTTTTAGCAAAATTTAGTTAGCAATGTTTGGCAAAATTTTTAAACAATTTAATTATATTACACTATCATACCTCGTCAGTGTTTTTTGTTACTATAGGCACCAATACCACAGATATATGTTTCCTACAATGTGTTATCTAATATATTACATTAATATGATAATTATGCAATATTTATACATTTCACCGCTGTTTTAGTACAAGGGGCGGTTTAAGTACTCGCCTCTAACCGCGCTTAACACATATCATGATTTATTATCTATGACACAAATGTCATAAAGTAACATTTTAGAATCATTTTATTTTTAATTGATGAAATGTTGCCGAGACGGACATAAGGCATTTCTGTAAAGTTGCAGGAACTTTGCCACAAGGATTTGTAACATTACAAGTAACAAATGTAACCTTCAGTAACATTTTAGAAATATTATTTTTAAAGTGAGTTGCTACCTGGTTTTCAACCCTTTCACTTTAAATCGTTTTTCTCATATACGTTACATGATAAAGAACAGTGAATTTCTCAATAATAGAACATCCAATAAAAAATTTATTAATTTTTAAAATCTCTTTAGGAAAACCCTGTTTAAGATTGGAATAGCTAGTTATGGATGAATGTAATGTAAATGATATTAAAATGGAATTCCTTTGGTTAGTTTGTTTGTGTGTGGGTATCCGATTGAGTTTGACAAGCGGGGGCGCTCAGCCGGTAGCTAGATCAAAAAAACTGACCCCATAAATCGCTGCATATAGATTGATATACAAGAAAGTTGGTATCTTCATTATGGTACGGGCCGCGGTGGCCTTATAGGGCTAAATTGGCCCGTCTGACAGCCGATGACAACATCATCAGCGGACTCCCCGATCGAGACATAGTTTTTACGTTCCTTTATTGCCTACTTTATGAAAGATTCATCGGAATCCATCCGGGGACGGAACTCTGATGTATGCAAGCGGTCGTAATTAATCCCAGACCGACCATAGTTTTTATATAACGTTATTCAGATCTTATTGATGGACATTGGCTATATTATGTCAAGATTATTGATACCTAATTTAATAAATCCTAAAACCTAAATTTTATTCAAATAAAAATATCAGGACATGTATATATATAAGTTGCGGTCCATTTTAAAAACTCAAGCCAATTTTTGAAGAAGAAGAAAGTTGCATTTGCAAGTATACAGAACTGTAATTGTTAATGACTGTACGCCCAGATTTTCTTTAGTAAACGTTTAAATTTGTGTATTTTTTTAAATTTTGCATTCTTAAAAATTTACCTGTTCCTTTATTTTCCCGAAATATTTATTCACTTTCAGAATGAAAACTGGCAAAATTGACCATTTTTTTTATTTACCCCCACCTGGAAGTCAATAGAATCTTATCAGATTAAAAAAAAGGGTAAAACATTTTCTATATTTTTTATTATGTACCTAACCAAAGAATTAAGCAGTGGCCTAACTACTGACGGTTCAGACGGTCAAGTTGTCCGAGCCTCGTGACATTGAAGTCCACCAAAAAATGAGGACAAATGATTATCGCCCAACAAAATATTTTATTTAAATTTTTAGTAAATGCATAATTGTTTTTTCGTCATTTTTTTTCAAATCGTTTGTGTACCCAGTTGTTCTTGTTTAGCCACTTGAATCAACAAATTTTTTTAGTGTTCGTTTTATGCAAATCCAAAAATATATTTTGTTATTTTAATAGTGTAATTAAAAAAATATATAATAACAATTTTTAAAATATTATATTTAACCAAGGAAGTATATGGGGCATTCCACTGTGGAATGCCCCATATATGGAATTTCCACGCCAAATCGGATTGTTTAAAAAAAATTTTTTTTTATTCCTCCAATTTTTTTATATTTTTTAGTACTCCTTGAAAGAGCTTTCTCAGTAGATTTTGAGATTTTTTTGATCACGGGTTCAAAAGATAAAATTTTCAAAAAACTGCTTTTTTTTGTTTTTTGCTCATAACTTCTTAAAAAATGGTCCAAATAAAAATTAAAAAAAAAAAATTCTCTAAAAATTATTATAAGATTCGAAAAAAAATAGTAATTATGGAAGGCCCACTACCGGACTAGGCTGAATGGTTGTTAAATAGATAGAAGTTGAAAATAAAAATTTTTCGCGAAAAAAAAAGAAGACACACATTTTTAAAAACGCGATTTAAACTTATAACTCAAAAATCTTGATTTAAAACGCTTCAAATATTTTCAATATATTTTTTTTTCAACAAAGTACATTTAAAAACGAAAATTTTATATAGAATGAACGTTTTGATTTGGACCATTTTTTAAGAAGTTATGAGCGAAAAACCAGAAAAAAAGTACTTTTTTGAAAGTTTGATATCTTTTGAACCCGTAGTCAAAAAAATCTCAAAATTTACTGAGAAAGCTCTTTCAAGGAGTACTAAAAAATATAAAAAAATTGAAGGAATAAAAAAAAAAAATTTGAAACCATCCGATTTGGCGTGGAATGCCCCATATATTATATAACAAATAAAACTAAATTTTTGTATATTGATTTATTTAAACTAATTTTTAAAAATAAGTTGTTTGATAAAATATAAATATGTAATTTTTTTCGTTAATACATTTAGTGGAATTATGCCGCATGGAACAAATATGGCATAAAGGACCGAGAGCAGGTCCTGCTATTTCTTAGCTCGTGGCAGTGGATATTAAAGTTTCTGATACATTGTTTTAGCGTTCCAAATTGTTGTCCTGCTTCGGTGGTCCGGTGCCCAAGATTTGTACCGTTGAGACGTACGTACCCATTGTCATCGCATTCTTTCCGATGACGTCGCGGACCCCACTGAAGCAAAACCGCAACCTAGTTTGTTGTTGTATAAATGCGACTTAGCTGCTGTTTGCTGATTCCTATATCGTGCGCAATTAGAGCGGACGTTGAGATGGAGCATAATACACATATCAGATAAGTTTATGTGGTAGTGCCGTTTAGAAGTCAATGGACAATACATGTTTCGAAGAAATAACTTATATTTTATGGCTATTTTAATTTGTACTTACCTTTTTTTTACTTTTGCTTTGGTCTTTTGGGGTTTAAAAAATAAAACAATAATATTAAATAATGAACGATTTATTTATTTATTTATTGCAGCTTTGACACACGACTGGATAAAATTGGAAATATATATTAGTTACTGATCAATTGATTGATATGTCTGCTGGAAAAAATATCGGCGTGTGTATGTGTTTCGTGTATGGTGAATTTTTATAATACAATGAATCCTAAATTTTCACGTATTGTATATTTTATATGTATATATTCTTAAATATTACACATTATAATAACAAATATTTGCTTACATTTCTAATCTAGATACATACATAGATACAAGATTTATACTGCTGCCGTCGGACAGTCGATTTATATACAAAAGTAAAGAGGAAACTACTAGAACACCAAATTTATTTACAATAAAAACAGCAGGTTGAAAAAATGCTACTGGAAAGAACCAGGTTGTACGAGCAAAAACCATAATTACAATATAAATAAATTAAATAACATTTAACTGGTATCGATTGCGTCAACTGTCCGTGCACTGTTTTTAGTGTTCTAGAATGCGGGCGCCTTGAACATAAGGAACCAAGGGATTTATCACATAAAAACTGTACATCACTACCACAACAGGAGGCGTCCTTATCATTTTATTGTCCTTCATTGGTCAGCATGCACACTTTCCGAGGTAGATCACGGCCAAAGTCCAACCACAGAAGTAAGCGGTCAAGCTTTGTTTAACGCCATGGGCTTCAAAGGCGTCTCAGAGCCAGAGGACAGACTGGATGTTGAAGACGGTGACATCCGCGATGCGTTGGTGGTCAAACCCAGTGGTAAACTGCTGGCACTTGAAGTGGACGTGGCAGCCGCCAAAGTTGCTTTGGTAAGTACGGAGCTTAATGATGAAGGTACCGTGTGACTGGCGCTTACGGCACCCAAGGTTCTCTGGTAAGTTTCCAGAAGGCTTGCATCGGGAGATCCACCTGCAGCTGCGGCAGCCAAGTGTTGGGCTGCAGCCGGTCCATATAAGCTTCTATAAAAATCATGCGGTCTAGCATATGGGGCTGTGTGCAAGCCTGGAGGTGGTAGACGTCCTGCTAGAGGAGGTACTAACCTTCCTGCAGCTTGAGAATATAACGTCGAAGCTGCTGAATGAGGCGGACCATCGCTCTCTTTGCTAGCCATATCAGCCAAAGACCAGATTCTTGGTTTTGTCGTGACCGATACCGACATTTGTGGTGGAGAGCCCGATGATCTTGGAGGTAAGAAAGCGGGATGAGGGGGACGTTCATAAATTTCCGGACTATCTGGACCGCTGTCCGGTCTCGATTCACTCCATTCACTAGCGGTATCAGGTGCTAATCTAGAATGCGGTGGACGATCTCCGTCTTCACTTGAAGCGGTACCTGAATCTTTGGAATCTGAAATAAATAAAACCAAAGTAAATATCGTACATAAAAATAAATAATAGAATATGTTTGGATTTAAATAATTTTAAATCGATACATACCTAGCAAATCTTTTCCATCAGCGCTCTTATGATCATGGTCATCATCATCATCGTTATTGTTATCTTCGTCTTCTACCCTGTTTCTAGGTTCCCATGTCATTTTGTTTTCTTTCTTTAGCCGCCTTCTGGCATTCGCGAACCACGTTGATACCTGCGTCAACGTCATCTTTGTTATAATTGCCAGCATAATTTTCTCGCCTTTGGTCGGATACGGATTCTTTTTATGCTCGTTAAGCCAAGCCTTCAAGGTACTGGTAGTTTCTCGGGTTGCATTTTTTCTGCGAGCTCCATTCAGATCCATACCGTATCTGAAGCAAATATAAAACAATAAATAAACAAATTCAATAATAAATCCAAATTAATGTAGATTTTGTGGTTAAAATAGTTTATGTAAGTATAAAAGTATTTATGTAGGAAGAGTAAAAGGAAATCTTATGGGGGCGGTAAATGCTAGACGGTTGACAGATGTGTCTGAAGGCAGGACATGTAGCGATATTTAAAATTGAAACTAACTGTCAGACGGTATCAAAATCTCGAACGGTTTGCATTTGATTATTTTTTCAGGAGAACACGGGTGTAGAAATGTACAGCGTGAAAAGGGGAAGCGGGTTTTATAGATGGGAAATTAATAAAGCTGTCAGTTATATCGGCGTGGAGCCGAAGCAGTGGCGCGTAACATTTCAATCCGATGTGTTTACAGAGGCAAATGGCGTCGCGTTTTAAAATGCACACAGAGAGCGGGGACGAATTTAAAAATCGGTCGGAACTGATAAGCGCCAAGTTTCATCGCGTCCCTGATCGCATTATCAGCTTGTTTCCATAGCAATTGCTAATCGTAAAACGCCATGAGGAACGTCCCGCGGGTGCCAATAAGGGAGCGCCGCTACTGCGCAACCTCCAACCCCCAAACATCTACTCCACTCCACTTTGCCATGCACCTTTCCTCAACACGGCTCTTGCAATTGCTTCCTTACAAACTGTTCTAAACCAAACAAATTACCAAAATTATTCAGTTTTTCTAATTATTTTTAAAGACAATTAACATTCGAAATAAATTCTGTTAAAACAAAAAAACTTTTATTTAAAAACGATATGGTTTTACAAACACAATTATAATAAATAAATGTAACAAATTCTTTTACAAAATAGTTTCATATTAATTTATTTGTATAAAGCAGAGATTGTGTTACACCTATTCATAATTTTTTAACAATTTAAGAAACTTAATCCATGTATGTTTTGTAATATATTTACACATCATTATTTATAAATAGTCTTCTTAAAACCATTTAAACTTGCTGAAGTCATTCGAACGCAATCTAACACATTTTCTTTAATCCACACTTTTTGTACTTGCTGTAAGCCCCTTAATAAACAGTTACCCTTTCAATACAGTATGTAAATTATTGATGATAAATCGACATTTAATAACATTTTTTATCAATTTGGACGGAGATTATTGCGCCACGCCTTGAAAGCGCGATATGTAAATTCTCCTTGGCCCTTTTTCGAAACAACAGTTGGTCCGATGTATTCATTCTGGTGGAAAACGCAGTTCGAATTGCACCTGGTTCTTGTTAACTCGTCTTTATCGGGTGCCTCCATCTAATTTTATCCGTACCACATCGCTTATGCTGTCTTATATTAGGAATGTCACTGATCGTCCGACGACATTTCATGCTTTAATGACCGACGATCATATTTTATATAACTAGCGGAAAATGTACAAAACTTTCGGTTCCAAAATTAATGCTTCGTTAAATAAATTTATTCAAATAATTAAATCAATAAAAAAAAAATCGTGAAATTAGTGAACTATCCTTTTAAAAAAACGTATGTGGTCTGATTAAAAAACAAATCATATCGTGCTTGAATTCAATTTAGAATAAATGTGTTGACTAAAATCTTTTGAATTTGGTAGTAGTGCGTGCCGTGAAACATTTTCCGAAACAGCGAATATAAAGAAAATTTATGAAAATGTCTTTGAGCTCTGGTTTCGAATTTATATTATTTTACCCCTAGCGAATTTCTCTTAATATTACACCTTTTATCTGAATTATTACGATATAAACTTGCACCCACGAAATATCTATGGGTTTTATCAATATTTTATTGAAAGCTGATCAATATTTTATTGAAAGCTGATGTGAAAAATAGTAAAAAAACCTTCTCTGAAGTAGTATTTTATATATGCAAGTGTTTTAAAAACGATATGGGAACTATTTCAATAACACATAAGTATTCGTGAATATTTATGTAGAATTTAAAAACAATTTCCCTTAACAATAATTTAATATGACAAAATGTTCGATTAACAATTTATTAATCTAGTTCTTTTGTAATGGTTTCAACATGCAAATATGTGTAAATTACGTTTAAAAATGTATTTGTTTTCTAGAAGCAACAATAAACAGCATGCATATATTAGCTGTTTAACTTTAATGAATTATGGAAATTCATATTATCACCTCAAAAATAAATAAACCAGTCTTTGTATTATTCGCCACTATACGAAAATATGTATTAATTTCCTGTTGATTTCTGCTTAAGCAAGAGAATCAATAACCTTTAGTATTATATGAACCGGATACGACAAAACTTATTATTTTAGCTTGTACAAGATTGTTCGTGTTGCAGTTAAAAAAACCGTACGCCCGTATAGAGCCATTACGGCCAGAATTATTGTCTATTGAACTGGAAGCTGTTTGTTATGCAATATGTCATTTCGGAAGTAGGCATTTGTCATTTCCTGATATCGGACTTAAGCAGCTGATTATTCAAAATGTCCTGCACGTACGCTTAACACAATCACAGTTTAACACGTGGACACAAGATACAATCTACTTCTATGATCTATGGTTATTGTTCGGAACCAAATGGGTTTATGCCAATGAAAATATCGGTTTCAAATACTTTACATGTTCCACCTACATCCTATCAGTATTTTAACAGGTGATCTCATAGATGCATTTTCTTATCTAAGCTCGAGATGGAATTTGTCCCCCATTAGTTTTTAGCGGTTTATTTTTAAAGCAGTAGGAATTTGAATCTATATCCTTTGATAACCCTTGCCAATGACCGTGACAAGATTACAGTCGTAATAAATTTCAATTAGTAATTATAGCCAATTTACAACCGAAATAGTAAATGTATCTCTCTGAATAATGTTTATCAGTATTGGCAAAAATAAAACTCAACTTGTGTGGTTTATTTCCCAGAACATCTCTTGTAATCAATTATAGAATTAGCTGTTATCAAACGTTGATGTTAATATACTTTAATTTAATTTGTTATTATAAATTATTAAAACAAGGAAATATTGTCATCATAAGATTAATGTTTTCACTAAATAATCTTTTATATGCTTCCAATTAAAATAACTGGTATCAGAAACTTTTAAGTGGATTGTATGTTAGCACTAACTAGCAACCATAACATTATTTCTTAGACCTAAAAAGCCTGAATTTCACTTACCAATAATTGGTAAATTATTAAATTATTTATGAATTTAAAATTAAATATGTATAATTACTAATTAGTGTAAAATGTTTATCTTATCTATAAAATATACAATATTCGTTTTAAATATTTTGCAAAAAGCCTACTTACATTATTATTTTATATATATATACAAAAACTTCAAAATAAAGCATTGAGAATTATTTTAAAATGTAACAGGTATACACCAATCGAAATGATGCTGGACGTATTAAGTTTGTTAAGTGTAAAACAATATGTGGTTTTTAAAACACTATTATTTATATTTAAAGTTAAAATTGGAATTCTTCCTATTTATTTAAATGACAAATTAATTTTGGTACAAACCATCCATAATTACAATACTAGGAGTAATAATGATTTTTATGTTGAAACGTATGACAGGGTACAAACAACAAAAAATGTTTTTGTTAATGGATTAATATTATTTAATAGTCTTCCAAGTGATATAAAAAATTGTAATAACATTAAAATATTTAAGAAACTTGTAATTAAACATGTCAAAGAAAACTTTTTACTGTGATAGTTTGACTTTGTGATTTTTTTTTATATATGACATTTTTTGTAATGTAAATAGCTTATGCTAATAAATGGTTTATTTTATTTATTTATTTATTTATATATTATATTTGTTTGATTTTTTTCGTTTTCTTTTGTGACGATAAGAATTCTAATATAGAATTATAATATGTGGGCATTTAGTTATTTTGTGTGTTAAATTTAATATTAAATTATTATTTAATCTGACATTTTGTTACATCAACTTTTGTGTTTGCCAAAAAGTTAAATCCTTAGCTTGTAAACTATAAAATATTATTTGTAACTGTGACAAAATACATTTATATCTATTTAACATTGTTTAACCAAAAGAAAATTCAATTAACAACTCTATTTTCAACATATATAAAATGTTTACTATTATTCCGTTGAAAATATAATTTATACAAATTAGTTTCTCGCTCTTGGAAACGATCCAGCTTTACAAATAGTATTTACATGTCCGCTGATTGACATCGCAACAACATAAAAGCTATTGTACCGAGGTGAAAAAAATCGAGGATGAGTGCTAGCAATAGGACAAAGCAAGTGTTACTTTACGAGTTATATTTAAATAAACCAAAATAGATTGTTAAAGAACAAAAAACAAAAAATGGAATATTTTTTTCTAGACCGTAAGGACTATCAGTCTCCATGTTTGTAATTTATTATTTAAAGCGATAACGAGCGAAGCACCCTCGCCAGTTGACAGTCCACCAAATCCCCAGGGTCTTCAAGAACGCACTTCTTCCATTGAATAAAACATCAGATTATTCCGTTTTAATTGAAATGCGACCTAAGGCTGGATTTACTTCAAATTTGGGTTAAGTAGTTTCGCTTTACATGTAAATAAAACTATGATTCTAAAAATATTTTGTTTTAACAATTATGACTTTGACTTTATAACTCTTTAATTATGTAAAAAAGTAGGTACCGGGTCCGGAAGATTAAACGGTTAACTCCTATTTGATGAAGATTGTATTGAGGTAGTTTAGATTAGTTAACAATTTTTTTCTACTTGTAAAAATTTAACGTCGCTTAACGATTTTTTTTTCATAGAAACGGTGCTTGCAAACTGCATTAATACTTTATTTTACGGAAAAGGTTTACTGGCATTGCGCTCTAGCCTTTAGATGCAATATTGACGAAATGCAGTTAACGCTTTTGTCAAAGGAAATGAAAATCAAAATCGAGCGTCTTCCTCTCACTGAAAAACGTTAACCGCATAAGTTTTTAAAGTATTTACTAGAAACAAAAGCAACAAAAAACATTGACGCTCTTCGAAATCTTCAACTGTGACGTGTCCACAAAATTTGTTTGAGATTTTCTTAAAGACCATTTGGTCTTTCCGTGCTAAAATTAGTGTGAAGCACAGTAAAACGCAGAATTTCTTTACGATTCTATAGAATCGTAAATAAATATTATAATATCATAAATTTTTTTTATCAATTTTTTTTAGGAACTCTTATCTTTAACTTTGGACGGATAAATATGACTGAAATCCCTTTATTCCGTTTATTCTGTCGGACCCTGTGATATTTTACTTTATTTAAATAACTACGTGTGTATGGACCTATAGGTAGCCAATTAAATGGTTCGTCTGGCAATTGTGGTAAAAAGTGGAAGTCGTACTGGCTGGCGCATTAAAACGATTATACCGATCAGACTTATCAAGAATTTATGTCCACACTACCGGCAATCCATGGGTTGCGCGTCCGCCAGAATAGAATCAATCACGTATGCAATAACACTAAATCTGCATGCTGAACACTCCGTGTCCATGATTCACTGTTAATAGACATTTAACATGCACTCCGACGATGGGCTTGCAAGCGAAAGAATCGTCCTTACAATCCAACAATATTGTGCAATGTTACGGTTGACGTTTTGTCTAACTGTATCCGGTTCGAAGGACCATAACATAAATTTTCAGTCTGCACGACATCGGAAATAACTCATATTTTACTTAAAAGCTTTTTAACCAAAATATTCTCAATATAGTAAGTATAAAAAAACTTACCCATTAAATGGGTAGCCAGCAAATGCAGTGTCGTACGGGTGATATACTGATGGGTAGGGCCAACCAGCGGCTCCGGCAGCCAAGTTTTCTTTAAGTTCCAAACCAGCAGCCTAGAATAAATAAACTATAATTAATAATAATAAGCGTATGTTTACTTGTAAATAACATAGTAACATAGTAACGAGATTAATTAATGCACCTGTCAGAAAATAATGACCCATAATTTATAAAAATTATACTTATAATTAGGGAAAGTTTACATTAACATTAACATTTTAATTTCTTAAGCAAGCCAACACGTCTTACAAAAATTTTGGGAGAATGAAATTCTTTTGGTTTTACGTGGCGATTAAGGCCTGGGTATTCTTCTCACGAATATATTCTTTGCAGGATACTGCGGTTTAACTTAATGTAAACTATATCTTATACACCAAACTAAATATGTCATCTAATTTTATAAACCGAATGCGACTTTTTAATGTTGTTTACCAAAACTAAGGTATACTTTTTATCTTTTTTATTTAAGGACAATATTTTTATATTTATACTGGGAGAAAGGATGGTACAAATTCCTGGTGAAAAGGTTTACCTATATATTATGTTTACCGTTTATTTTATAGAATAAATGGTAAACGTTTTGTACTGGAGCGAAGGGTTACTGAACGGAAAATATACATTTTTCCTGAAGTACATTGGTATTGTACCTAAAGTGACCTCACAAATTACTGTCTGAGCCTAAACTGGACCTGCAAGCGCGGGAAAAGATTTTCGTTGTTTTTTCTGTACACAATATTTTTATTGTTTAATAGTTATCTTTACTGATCAATGATGTATATTTTACCGTCGCCAACTGTTAATTATTATGTGCGAGCATCGATATTCTAATTTGTGTTGATTGTGGCTGTAACAACAGTTGCTACCGACTATTAAGAATTGATATCAGGATATCAGGCAGCCTAGCTCAGATGGTAGAGCGCTTGCTTAGCAAGGGGGTTGTTTGAATTTATATTTCCCCCGAAACATTCTTCTAAACTTCTCACTCTCTCAATATTCCTCTTCCTTCCATTTTTTAAGACTTCTTTCTTTCACATTTGCTCTGCGAGAAAAGGCCAGAACTGCTTCATAGTTATTAAAATGAGCCCTGTACAAGGGACTAAAGCCCTCTGCACAATAGCTCGGTAACGGGAATCTGAACAGTAAAGGTGGGGGAGACTAAGAAACCACTGTTGATAGATAGTGTTTGCTGAGTCTCTCCCACCTTTACCGTTTAGGTTCCCGATCTCGTTACCGGGCTGTTGTGCAGCGGGCTTAAGACCGTCGGGAGACTGCGCTGCTACCACTCGTACCACGCACCTCCACTGCTGGGAGGCTTAAGAGGTGGAACCTCACTTCCACGAGCCTCTTTATAGCCAACCCCACATTGCGGCCTTGTACAATATCTTCTTTTATATAATGTAAATTATTTAATTTGTAAATATATTGATTTTGATTTGGGCTTGCTTAGCATGCGAGAGGTACCGGGATCGATACCAAGCGCCTCCAGAACTTTTTTTATTTAGTGTTGGTGGGCAACTGGGATATTTACTGTTTCAGTTTAATGAATAGCAACAGTAGAGATTCTTTTTTTCTCAGTGTAGGTATTAATTAAAATATAAATTTAATATTATGCTTATTAAACATTTAAATAAAGTTGTTAACCTGCCGATTAAATAAAAAATGGTACACAACTGTAAATATTATTAAATGAAATGATAACATTTAAACAAAGATGATGTAAACAAGCATTAGTATAAAAAGTCGCATAGTTAAAGGCAATCTTTATTCCACATCTGGTCGGCAAAATAATAGCATTATTGTGTTATTTTTTTTAGCAGACTTAAGCATTTATTAATTAATAGGCAGGAAGATTGATGTATAGGAAGTTATTGTGTTATTTTTGCGCGTACACGCATTTAAAGCAACATTAATTAGTAAACATATATGTATATAACTGATTTAAGCAGTGCATTGACTACAACAACCGTTTTTAACGAACATACGTTCTAAGCTGGTCGATATCGATGAACGGTTTTAAATGAATTCAGGATGTTTAAATATTGTTTACAAGGGCATTACGCACAACAAATTACGCTCTCTTGCTATTATGCAAATTTTATGGTTAATGTTCAAGACTTTTTTTAAACAAGTTACAATTTAGCTTGCAAGATTTATCGTGTTAATGAAGTTAATTTAGGATAAACAAAACGACAGTGTGGCCAATTAAAATATCTTTTTAAAAAGTCTGACACGTAAAACTAAAAAAATTGTAGTTGGAGAAGCACATCAGTAATCCATTCAACAGTCAGAGTGATTAATAGATTTATAATAACGATGTTAAAACGATTGAAACGATCGACCACAATAATAGTTGTTTTGTCCGCATCTAACAAATTAAGCGTGGGTACGCGTTGATTTAATGAAATAATTAAGTAAACATGACACCTTAAATCGAGGAGAGAGGCTGTATAAAAGCGTCCATTGTTGCACATATGCCTAGTTAGGATTAAGACTTCGAAATGAATTATTGTGTTTTGTCATAAATCAGCATCTTGGACGTGTCTATAAAACTTCATTACAGATTATTATATTAATCATCGGCCTCTTGTGGCCACAACAATAACTCTGACAGCCAGGAATATGATGTTTGGCCTTTAAATTATTTTAAATGACGGCTTGCGAGATGCCCCGCTTGTGTTGTTGTTCTCCAAGTTTCACTTTTACGTTGCTAAACTGCATGTAACCGACTAGTCGCAACTGTCAGAAGAAGATATACGAGCGACAACTCGTGAAAAATTATCAACGCGACCACACGATTAAAATAAAGATTATAACGCTTTAATGCGGTCATTATAACCACATCAAGTCATTTGTTAATTAGAAAAATACATCAGCTACCTTTTATTAGAAATCACCAATTTAACATTATTCCTTTGAATATTCTAGCCACTGAGAAAAAGAAATATTTAATATTAAGAAATCAAAACAGTTGCGATATTTTTTTAAATATATGTTAACTATTAAAAAATTTCTTAATCGTGAACAAATTATATACTAATTATTATAACATCGTCCGGTGATTGTGTTTCAGACAAAGTTGTCTTAGAATTGTGATACATTAACAGTTAATATACCTAAATTCGAATAAAACGTTTTAACATTAAATTTTGTCAAATAATTTTAAATGCAATATGCGCAAGCATGTGGCGTTGCCGTAGTTTTTTACAAGAACTTCGAGAAAGGCAGGATTAATTTGATAAAAACGGAGCATTTATAGAAAATATGATAGTTTTATAGTATTTTTAATTTTCATGTAATTAGGTAAATCAAAATATTTCTCTCAACTGTTCAAGAATACTTTGATTACTTTACAAAAAATTCGCTGTTATCATTTTAAAACTATAGCCAACACACATTTTATTTAATATGAAAAAAAAAGCCATTTGAGAGAAATACAAAAATAATGATTGCAAATATTCTCAAAACATTGAGCGAAATTTCGATGTATTAACAGTTAATATATCTACATTTGCTACGTATACGTTATGAGCTTCTTTAATTGAACTTAACCAGTTCTTAGACCCAAATTAATATTTCTTTCGCCATATCCAACTCAACGATATGTTAATAGTTAACGTGCCTCGTTATTAACAAATATTTCTTTCTCTCAGTGTACAAAAAAATTACGAATTGTTTTATCTAAAATTTAGGAAAGAAATTAGAAAAACGAAACGATAAACTGGACGTTTTGCAGTAAATATTGCTTCAATATGAGTTTTTTTCTGTTGATTTAGTTTTATTAGAATTAATACTTTTTTATTTTAATTTAATTTTTATTCTGAACAGTGCAGCAAAATATTTTTAAAAATAAATGATTATAATTTTTTCGTTTTCTAAGGCACCAGGCTTATTTAATAAGCGTTGGTGCCTTAGAAAACGAAAAAATTATAATCATTTATTTTTAAAAATATTTTAAATTTATAACAATTTATTTAACGGCCAACGAAAAAATCACAAGGGTAGTCATACGCAACGCGTCGCCGAGTATATTTCTTATTGACTGATCTTATTGATAAGGGTCGAATAAGTAAAAACATAGCAAACGCTGAACGTTGGTCTCGCTGATTTTAAAGTGGTTTACCCCTCGTAAATGGCCAAGCACAATATCATAAAATTTAGCCCTCCGATTTGGCGCCAGTTAAAAAAAATAATTGCGAGTTTAAACCGAATTATTTAACTCACTTGACAACATTATTTAACATATATAATAATCCAAATTTAATACAAATATTACCAAACTCAAAGTTTGATTGATTAAAAAACATACGAAACAGGCAAAATCGTAATTTGGCTAGTTATTTACTTAACCTCAACACGAAAACATAAACAAACCATCGGCCCTCATCGACGAAACCCATATAAGTTTTATGACCGATCACTCTAATTGGTTGGGTTAACGTATGCTCAATATTGGAATATAGAATAAAATTTAAGATAAAGATATATTCTGATTCTGATACGTATGATTTATGGTGTTCTGTAATTTTTTTTATCTAATGATTCAGTTGAATATTTAGTGAAGTTTATTTGAATTAATATTGATATTGATAAAGTTAACTTATAGGTTATTAATAAACTAAAATAAAAAAGGTTCTGACCACGGATTGTGAGTGTCCAAACGATATGATCATTAACAGGTTAACAAACAACTCGTCACCTGAGAATTATAGTGTTCTATCTGCATTTTTTTTTAAATTGATGTTAGTTTTTTTTAAGTATTAAAGATGCATATTGTTCTTATCTATATATAATTGGGGTAAAAATTGTACAGTTTAAGGCTTAAAACTTAAAACTATTGTTTTTAAGTCGATCATACAGTGAAAAACATTGGATATTAAAGTAACTTACTTCACGTCACTTGTATAAATATTGGCTAAACTTTACATCTGACATTGAAATTAGAGTTAATACAATACAATTATGTTAGAATACAAGTAGGTGTAGAAAAAACTTTTATCTTTAAAAAGATACCTACCATTCATGTCAAACCAAAGCAAAATTAAAATACTTAAAATATAGAAAACTTTTTATTTATTTAATAGTATATTCTGTAACAAGTTTGGAATACGGCATATTCCGCTCGAGTGAAAAGTTTGTCACACGAGCCGAAGGCTAGTTTGACGGTTTCACGAGAGCGGAATATGCAATTCCAAATGTGTTTCAGACTATACTTTTTCTACGTTTCCAAAAAATACCATAGAAAAATAATTTAATTAGGAGAAAGTGAGGTTGGATCGGTCTAAAAGTTGTTAGATAATACAAACAGAGATCTCGCCACCAGTGTTTATTCCGTCATCCGATGATAGAATAATTCATTCTGTAACACAGGAATAAATGTTTGTAATTCCACATTAAAAAGTTATATTAGAACAGTCATATTCCGTAATAGGAGTAGAAAAAATAATGTAATTTAATTTTTATACCTACTAAACAACAAAAGTGCAAAGTATTAAAAAAAAGTTAACGAAAACCATACTTTTAAAATAAACAACTCTTATCAACTAAAACCCCTAAAACTCGAGCTAAAATTTTAGTTATTAATAATTATATTTTTTAAACATGCTACCGTAATAAAATTCCATTATGTACAATGAACTTAATGGAATCCTATATGCAAATGTATCTAAAATGAGTTATTTTAATTTAAATTGCAATTTTTTTTAATTTTTACTTAAGTATTTTTAAATTTTGGTTCATTATAAATGATAAGATGAAAGTTTTTTAAATTATTTCATATTTTAGTAGACAACCATTACAAATATGTAAAATGAATGTTTCCACTCTAACTTATAATTATTTTAAAGGAATTTTTCAATAAAACCATAATAACAGAGGAATTATGAATTTGCTAGATTCCAACACCTGTCTCGAGCATTTGAAATAAAATTTCTCATGGAATAACAAACACCACCCTTTAAACACCTGGTAACAATTCTTAAACATTTTATGCTTCTAGTTTGCGTACATCGTTTCAGTTTAACTTATTAATCAATTTGCAAACTCATCAATATGGTAACAATTAATAAATTAAAAGCAATGCACTGTCATTAACGTCAATTGATATTCATTAATACACGTGTTTGCAAAAAATGCATATTAATTTTAATTTATATCGCATTTCTGCTAAATCACAGATAATTAGATATATCTAGACTTATACAATTAGCACCATGTAATTATTTTATTTAAAACACTTAAATTGTTTTAGAATCGCAATTATAATTTTCACATGTATTTAATCATAAATGTTATGTTCCTAAAATTTTAATTAAAAAAAATCGCATTTCTGCTAAATCACAGATAATTAGATATATCTAGACTTATACAATTAGCACCATGTAATTATTTTATTTAAAACACTTAAATTGTTTTAGAATCGCAATTATAATTTTCACATGTATTTAATCATAAATGTTATGTTCCTAAAATTTTAATTAAAAAAAATCGTTTTTGATTTAGTAATTTACTAATTTTTAAAAAAAATATACATTTACATATATCTATAAAAAATCCTGTGGGTCATCTTGGTAGCAACAATTGTAACTAACTGTAAAGTAAAGTAAAAATAAAAGAAGAAGTATGCTACTAAATTCAGAGTATTATTAAGCCTTTAAAGTTCACACTATCAAATTTAAATTTCCTTTAGTGTTTTGGGAATAAACTCCAGCATGTTCCAAAGTTTAAAATCAATGTAAATTTGTCGTGGATGTTGTTAACTACCCGTCACAGTTGTACCATAATTAAACCGGACATTGCCGGGAGATATTAAGAATACCTTTAAAAGCAATGACCAACTTGGTCCATTTGTTTGCAAATTAAAGTTTTAACCTACATGGTCTTTAATATATATATGCACATAATATGTACATCAAATTATGGACATCAAATATTTTTAATTAGTTGCAAATTAATAAACATTTTTAACAAACAAAAAGTTAGTTATACGACAAACAAGTTTTGAAAACATGGGCCACAAGCCTCTTAATACATATTTTATACGGGCTGTTGTATATTTATAACTTCATTTGTTATGGATATATAACACTGAATAACTTAAAAAGAATTTCCACTTTAGTTACTTTTTTACTTAAATGGAACATGGCAATTAGGGATATATAAACTATATTTAAAACAAATACACAGGGTGTTGGAAAATAAATGGTAAAAAATCAAACGGGTCCAAGCGCAAAATTTAAACGGTGTGCGCAGTTTTTGACGTCTGGAGCTCAGCAGTGAGGCGTTACCGGACACGTGTCCCCCAGATCAAAAATTTTTGTCCAGGCATGGCCTACCACCCCCTTGATTTTTGCCTGTATATTATAATAAACATTTTAAATATACCTATTAGATATTAATACTATTAATTTAATGGTAAATTTTTTAAAAGTTTTATAAACGCATTTAGGTATGTCTCTTGCAAGCGAGTGTTTAACTAAAACGAGTGTCTAGAGAAGTTTATAAAAGAAGTTGCTCCTTTGTGTAGTAATAATATAATTAATTCAACAACTTTTTAATTGAATATGAAAAGTGCTTCATATTTTATTTTATTTTAATGACTAAACAAGATTTAGTTGTGTTAGGCAAGCAATTAATTAAATGTTGTCAGATACGACTTCTATTTGTAATTATGTTGATGGATTATGCTAAGAAAACTTAACTATTCAGGTCGTATAAACTCAACAAATGTGAATATTAATTTTTCTGACGAATTATTTGTAACACACATTTCAGAGATTAAATTCTTAAACAAATTTTGTTGATTTAAATATTTATTGATACATCAACTTAAATTTTTTTAAGCACAGGTTATAAGGTCATTTGTATGAATTCCATAATCAAAACCAGAACAGTACTAAAAACAATTGTTTATAATGCAATATCAAAACGTAATAGTTTTTGGTTTAATGCTGTTCTTATTATTAAATGTATAAACAACTCGACGATTAAATTTAATGATTAATTAAGTACATGTTTTATCAGTAAGGAAATTTGTAATGAGACCACACACAAGACAATCTAATCCTCATTATTAAATTTAATATTTGACCGCCTTCGAATCCGGTCCATATGCATAAATATACTTGCGATGCGATGTCCTTACATAATGAATAATAAGGTAACAAGTAATTACCACTGTATTATCGTCGTTATTATAAAGTATAAATACATTGTTAATTATGTTAATTACATTTTAAAATTAACGTAAATGCACACGATATGTGGCTAAATTTCATATGACAGGATTTAAGATTTTCTTGACCCTTTTGTTAACCTCAATATTAACAGTTAACGATTTAAAGAGCAAATATTTTTTTAACATTGTCTTAACCAGTTTTATGAATAAATGCATTAGTAGAAGTGCCCATTACCTACAAAATTATGGAAAGAATCTTTCTAATGATTTTAACAGCTGTTTTAAGAAAGGCATTTTATATAAATCTAAAGGTGTTTGAAAGATATTGACATGTTTTATGGCAAAATAACGACATTTTACTGTTTTCCATATTGAACTAACGTATGCCAATAATTATAATAGCTTAGGCAATAAATGTTAAACGGTAAATAAACTACTTTTTCACAGTTTCACCAGTAAATTATTATAACGTAGATTGATTACGAGATGTGAAATTCATGTTGCTGAAATAAATATTAATGTAATAATTAACTTTAGGGAAATTTAAAAGAAGATTAACTATTTTTTAAATTGAAAAATGTATAAACACAAAAGTAAACTAAAACTAACGCAAAAACCATGAATAACCGCTTATTAATCAAAAATCAAAACGCATTGAAATTATAACATGAATTAAACATGTTTGACTTAACATTTTTTGAATTGTATTAAGCTAATTAGTGTTGTAAAAACAATTAAGGTTTTCACATTACAAAAGTGCAATTAATCACTCAAGGGTGCCGACATATATACAATATTGCAAGGCTGGTGTTTTTGTTAAATACCATTTTTTTAATTATGTAATTATAGACTTGTAACTCATATTCGCGATTTAGCAGGCAATTTTAATAATACCTGCCAAGTTGCTGATTATGTTTTTTAAAAGCTAAAATTTTATTTTTACTTAACGTTTTTAGCGAACAACGCTTTTATATTAAATGTAAAAGCCTACCTACTTTAAAAATGTATTTTTTTGTAATATTAACACTATATTTTTTTCAAGCGGACTTGTCTTAGTCACCTGAAGACGGCTGGAGGTACTTAACAGTCCAAACGTGATTTCAAATACTACGACAATGAAAGTCCAAAACCTTTCTTTTATTCAAAATAGTTTATGTTTAAATAAAATAATGTTATTATCCATCGTATAATTATTAAATTATAATACCTAGTAAGTTGCGTAGGAAGTGCAAATATTGAGAGGGAGAAAGTTATTTACTAAGAGTATTTATTTTTTGTCTACAATAATCTAATTAATATTGATTTAAACTTATATAACATAAACATACATATTTCTACCCATGAACAAATCGTCGTTTATCTGACAAAGAGGCGTAACTCAAAAAAATTCGTTTTTGAGTTATACCAGAATGATCACCAAAATCGACTTTATAATCTCACAAACTGGCGTAGCTTTATAATAAATAGGTACAAATAAAGTTTTAGCATAAAGCAGTTTCGGCGTAACTTATATTTTTGCATTTTGTGTGCCGTACAAACTGGCGTAATTCAATTCACACCGTTTTGTTTAAAAATGAGATACGCCTCTTTGTCAGATAAACGACGAAATGATTGCAAAAATTGTGATACCTTTTTCATTTATTCACTTAAAGCTGCAGTGAAATGTATGCTCGGCTATAGCCGTATATATATTTATATATACTATGTATATATACTATATACTATAGTATATGTGGTTTCTCCGCCTGGTTTAAAATATACTATTTTTTTAAGCGTGTAACAATTTTCATATTATAACACTCATAAGAATAAAATATAGTAAGTCAAATTATTATACACCTAGTACAATAATAAAAATACATTAAAATAATATAGAAAGGGGGCTTCCATTTATCGCATTTATCTCGAAATCAGTGTAGGTAACTAGAAATTATAGGTCACTGTAAAATAAGTTCACGCACATAGGTTGTCAAGCGTTAAACATATGACAAAATGTGGCAAACTCGAGAATTTAAAAGTACAGAATTAAATGCTTGAAAAAAAAAATAGTATACAGGGTGCCAAACAAAATGGGTCGATTCCTTGCAAAAACCCAAGTCGAAATTTCTGTTCGTTGAAAAAGACTAATTGTCATAGCGAAAAAGCATCCACTAATAATTCTCGTCAACAGCAATTTGTATACAGGACATTTAGCAGTCAATTCCTATGTAAATTTGACCGCTGAATCCGAAAATGAGTCAAAAGTTATAAAAGTAAAACATTTTTTGTAAATTTTCCATATAATATGGAATGACTACTATCTCAAAAACTGTTTCATAATTTTTGACAGAATTTTCGGATTCAGGGGACAATTTTACATAATAATTAACTTTTAAATATCCGGGATACAAATTGCTTTGGACTACAGTTATTATTGGCTGCTTTTTTACTATGAGAACTAGTAATTTTTTACTAATTTATTTTTAGAAAGCTTTAGGGCTATAGGGCGAGCCCCGCCTTTTGACTCAGTGCTTGCGACAACACGCAATAAATTTATTTTTCTTATTTTTTTCCCAATTATAGATTATCAGCTTCTTTTGCGCAAACACAAAAATATAAAAAAAACTCTTCCGATAGAGCAGAAACACTGAGCTCTCATTGCTTGCTTTAAATATGAAATAACTCCTGCAATTTTGGGGAAAAAAAGCAAAAGAAAATTTCTTCTTAGATTTTCGCAAGGTTTGGTTTGTTTGGCCCGGTGATTTTGGGACCCTCAACACGGCGAAGATCTGCAGCCTCGGCTAGCGTTTTGGCAGCGAACACTAAGCTCAGCTATATTAAGCGCTTTCTCCGCCTTTTTATATCATTACAAATAAAAAAAAATCCTAGTTTATAATAAAAATAATTTGATTTTTTTAAATTATTAATTGAATATAATTAATATAAAAAAGCCTAACCGCAAAATAGATTTGTTGATATTTGGTTTCATAAAGAGTTTTAAATGAATTACTTAAAGAAAATAAGGAAATTATTTATTATTTATTAAAAAATAACTTACCGTTGGGGTATAAAACGGTGCCTGGTCGGCTCCAAGGGCTGGGAAATAGGCCGCCATACCTTCCGGATACGGAGCGCTGTACATAGATAAGGCCGGCAATCCGGGAACGCTGCCCGCCAATCTTTGATAACCTAAAAGTTCATATTGGCACGAGCACACACTCTGTCCGGTGATGGGGTCGGTGAAAAGCGGACGCCCTGTGTCACAGCATCTTTGGGTGGGCGCGGGAGGACTTCCAGGAGTCGGGGCTGAAGAAGTAACTGCCATACTTGATGGTGGTGGAGGCGACGATTGACTAGGACCCGAAGATACTGCACTCTGGAAGAGAAGAAACTGTTTTGATAAAGGTTTTGGACACATTTTTTGAATAACTTCTTGTAAAAATATAGCAAAATTTAACATGAAAAGTTAAAAAAAATTGTATACGAGCTGATCCAAGTTTAACTACTTAGATTTACAATCTTTACGATATTTAAATTGTGTTTTTTATCCATTAAATGTATTTTTATTTAGCCCAAAAATTGATATATTAAGATTTCTCTTCATAGTGGAAACCTTATATATAAAATAAACTATTTATTGAATGCTAATGATATTTCGTTGAAAATGTAAAATATCTTAAATCTGAATATATTCACCATTGAAACAACAAGGCGAATAATAAGTGGAGAGTAATAATGGGGTTATCGAGGATGTTTCATTTAGTTTCCCTGGCTCATATACAAGTTTAATTAATTCCTCTATTGCCATGGAAATTTGCGTAAAGGGCGTGCACACCACCACGCCACCCAGGGCCATTTTCCCACCTATCATTTAATCGTCAAACACTATCTACCCTTGAAGATCTCCCCGTACGGGGAGAATCGACGTGAAATTATCTCAAATTACAGTGCCGTGTCTGGGGGGATCGCATGAGAAAGTAGCCCGTAGCTAGTGGGCCTTAAGGGCTGGAATCGTGTTCGAATGCTTGGTTCAGCGAACTAAAATAACCGCATTACTTATTTACCCCCTAATGCGCGCTCATGTGTGATGCTCTTCGTGCGCCATTATTAAAAATAAATCTGCCTTTTTTCTCCTTGCCAAATATGGTTTTGTTATTTGTTGCTCCCAGCAATCTCTGTTTTTAGAATCCACTGGATTTCCATATTGAATAATTCCATTTTATGATTACGAACGAATTTGTCTTCCTCAAAAATTGTACGTTCTTCATGTGAGGTATGGTAGTAAAAAACGACCCTTCGGGTAATGCAAATAATTTACGACATCCTCCCAATTATCTAACTTTATTTGAACTAAAAAATTATGAGAATTACCCATATAAATTTCAGAAACGTGCAATTGTAATGTCTTAATGTGTAAATTGTCATATTAATGATTAGTTTTTCATTGTAAGGAAATATAGGATAAAAAATATGGTTTAAATATCTTTAAGATTTAATGAATAATCCATTCATCATTTGAAGGTCCTTCAAGGAAGGAAGTAACTAAAAGGACATTTCTTTCAGGCATATTCAATAAAAATTATAACTGTATTTGGGCAGTAAGGTTAAATTTATTGAAGATAAAAACAGTAACAAGGATATTTAATCTTTGATCAAGCTTTCAAATGAATCAAGGTATTACTGTACCGAGTTTAAAATCGTGTTTAGAACAAACCCTAATACGATAATAATATTTGTTTAAAGAGGCTAACGGTTTAAACCCCATCAAGAAGATCCTGCTAATACCTTAATAAATGGAGTGTTCACACCCCAGACATTAATACTTGCTTATATAGAAGTTTCATAAAGGTGAGGCAAACAACGCGAGCAGTAAAAACCCAATTCAAATAACAAAAGGCGAAACCTCTGCGCTGCGAGCCCACCGGTTCGGCTAGGAAGGAAGCTTTGGGCAGATGTCGGTTCAACCCTCCCTTGAGTGTTTGTAACGCCAAATTTCACCCATCAAAATAAATATTAAATCATTATAAATCACTGACGAGCTTTATGGTCCGATACTTTTCAGATTCAGTAGGGTGGTATTTAAGTCTTTGATGGATTGTTGGTCGTGGTCCACGGCAGCATAGGATATTTGATTTGCGTTATTTACAGCACCATTATGGCGAATTAATTCCGTTTATAATAATTGTTTAATGTAATGGGCATGGTTTACAGTCCAACGCTTGCAGATAATGAGGCTCTATTTGATTTTAAACGTTTCTCAGTTATAAATGGTTTATGCTCAGTAAAACTGTTTATGTCCAATAACCGCAGTTTTATTTATTTGTATTATTATTAACTGTTTGATTTATACTTCTGTTACAGATAAAAAGAACTATATGTACTTAAACACGTTTATTTCATTAAAGCCAAACTTTCAGTGTTAATTAACGACATACCATTTTTTACCTAAAATTCCTTAGCTGTTGGAGGATGCACCAATTAACTTTACATGAGATTTCGCAAGTTAGAAGCTAATATGAGGCCACTTGGGATGCGACACGTATCACATAAAATAATTAATATTAAGGCAAACATTCAGTACCGTCGTTAACATTAATTAATGTGAAAAAATGTATCATATTGAGTTTAATATTTATGAAAGTGTACGGGAATCCTGAATCTCTTGATCGCATTTACATTTATAATGGCCTAACTATGGTTTAACTTATATAGATGTTTGATTGAGTCGATCTAATGTATTATTCAGCAGTTGGTTATTAAAAATGCCCATCGGTGCAAAAACGGTTTGGTTTATGACCGTTTCGAACCATACAAGGCACGTTTTTGTCAAATAAATGATTTTCATCGGAAATCTTACATCGAAGACATAAATTAGTTATGTTTTTCAATAAAAAAATGTGTCTCCCAAAAATATGGGTGGTAGTTTCTTTCAAAATAAAAATACACAATTTGGCCATTTTAGCAACATAAAGCCAACAAATAGTTTTTGTGTCAAAGAAAAATGTATGTATCAAAATTATTTATAGGTACCTAATTAAAATAGCTGTGTATTATAAATAAATAAAAAAATCTATGCCTATCTAAATATGGATATATTTTTTTCAATTAAAAATTTTTAAAAATAATATTTTTTAAATAATGTATTATAAATAAATAAAAAAATCTATGCCTATCTAAATATGGATATATTTTTTTCAATTAAAAATTTTAAAAAATAATATTTTTTAAATAATATATACCTACTCGTTTTGGGCAATTTAATTAAACACTTTAAAAATTTACTCTCTAAAAATGACTACCTAGTTTTCATAGTGAAAAAGCAGTCACTAATAAGTGTAATCCACAGCAATTTATTAATTAATATGTAAAATTGCTGTTGACGAAAACTTCTTTTTCGCTATGACAACTAGTCATTTTTGATTAATTCATTTTAAGAGAGTATGCTAGACAATTAATGCTCTAATAAACAATTCCACTTTTTACGGATACAAAATTATTTTTACAAACATATAAGCAAATTAATTTAAAATATTAATGTTAAACTTAGGTTTATATTTACGATATTTAACACGTATATAAATATTTCAAGAAGCACTTTCTCGGCTATTAAAAAATAATTTAAAATTCAATTTTAATAAACTGAATAATTTTTGGGTTAATTATGTTTATTTAAAAGAAAATTAACAATATTTACATTTACTAAGGAACTTAACGATATTTACTTACAGTGTGTCTATTAAGAAATAACTTGCGCATCATGTCAACAACTAAATAACCAACTACATGAATAGTTCTTTATTTTTCCAACACCGTTTTTTATCATTGTTTATAACTATAGGTGACAAGGATTTTCTCGCATTCTTTGAATTATCAAAACTTAAAATGATAATACCAATTTGGAACATGTTTAATTTATAAACATTATACGTTACCTGAGAGTCACCACAACAATCACTATCGCATTACAAAGAGGAAATAGCTGTCACAACAATAAAAAATAAACTAAAACCGAAACAGCTGTTAATTTTTGCCTAAATGCAACATTTAATTAATTAATGCTCACTGAATATAGTAATGGATTTTTAATCGAAACATTTATAAATATTTATGATCATTTGGACATAATATGTTAATGTTTCAAAAAAGCTGTTCTCGCTTAGAGTACTTTTAGTTAGTCTTTCAATAACCGTTCGAAAAAGTTTAAATTAGCATTTCATTGGAAACATCTTAATAAAATTCTATTAATTTTAATACTGAATTTTAAAATACAGAAGTTGTTTTTTTATTATATTTACAAAAATAATTTAAAAAACATATATCGTACACAGGTGTCTTATATATAACTATTGATAACAGTTTATTCTTAGATCTAGTTATCAATGAAACAGCTGAGTTTGATGAAAAATAGTAGGCGGCTTTGTTTAAGCCAGAGGTATCATGTGCTAGTGTAAAGTTGGCATTTGATGAGTCAGGTAGATTATTCTTTATAGCTTCCTTTTTGAAACGCCCACAGTTCACACCTCAAATTACTATCATTAACTACCCGTTTGATATATTAGGTACACTATTTTTCGTGCTAATTTGATAAATCGGCAAATCTGATTTTTACGGTGCATTGCTAATTGCACAATAAAAATTTTACGACAACTTTTACTGTTAAAATTTTCATATCGCACTGCCAGTCGTTGTTGGTATTTTTCTCAAATAAGTAAATTGATATTTTATTGCATGTAAAAAATGAATGTTTTTGTTGTTTCCGTGTGCCTTTACAATTTTCCAATTATCAAAAACATTACGTCTTCTTGTTTTGTCAAATGTACAACATTAATCATCGCAAATAAAAAATATTTCAGTATTATTGCAAAAAATGTGGAAAAATATTGATTTTAAATGAGTTTTTAGTTTTTAGGCATTAAACAAATAAAAACATATATTTTAAATTTGCTCCAATAACTTTTTTAATGCCACAAGTAAATACACATCAATACACGCTCATAAGTTATGGGTAAATTAAAATTTTTAAAGCTTATTTAATTCAATAGGGGTATTGGAACAGTGCGGTAATTTGTTAATTAAGTTTATTGGCAAAAGCCTGTAACATAAGTTGCAGGCAACAAGAAGGAGGAGCGGACAAGAGCGGTCGGTTGGTCGTAGGGCTCGACACATGGGATTTGTTTATGTATAGTAAGTAAAGTAGTTTGAGCCTTGCGCAATTGCGCCGAAGCAAAAACTATCCGTAATAGTGAAGAGCTGATCTAGCGGGTGGTACTAAAAGTGTTAAGTAATAGTATGTAATATAGGTACCTGAGTATTCGGAGAAGATCGGAAGGCAAACTGGGACATTGTCCCAGTAGCAACAGCACTCACTGAGTCGTCGCCAAGGGAAGCATGGCTTCCTTGCACACCCCGCACTAATTTCTCGTGTGTCGGTCGTTTATAAACACTGAACTATCAACTACGAGTATAGTAAGAGTACGATTGTTAAAAGCACTAAGTCCCCGTTAAACTATAACAACAAACGAACGAAGCACGTGATATTCACTGTTGTCTACAAAATAAGTAGAAGAGTCCGTGTGATAGATGATTATGATGTTCGTCCGAATTGGTAGCGTAGCGTAGCAAAGGAGCTAAGCGGCAAGCACCAGGTGATAATTGCGGTGGTCGGTTAGAAGAGTTTGCTTCTTTCTGTCGATGTTGATTTTTGCGATTGTGTTGCGGTGGGTGGAGCAGAGTGGGAAGCCTCTGGCACGGGGAAGTGGGGGGCTGTTTCTTTGTTGCGGTCAGAGCGTCTGGAAATGAGTCCTGTTTTTGCCATCGACACAACGCGACTACTGATGTCACGGAATTCTTTTAACGGCGACAAATTGTCGCGATCACACAACACACAAGCGCAGTAGTCGCGGCGATTCGTAAAAAAATCGTCGCTAGTGGCGGGGTTTCCTCCAGGGACTGTGCCGCTCTTTCTGAGACGGAATTTTTGTGGCCTCCCCGATTGATACCACCACCACTAAAAATTGCGCCCTACTTCTTTTTCCCTCCCCACCCAGTCGCTCGCTTTTTTCCCCTCCGCTGCTGTCGGATTGAAGAGCACGCTCACCGGTACCGCCTAGACCCGCCCCCTTGTCTCGCCCAATCCAAAACGTTTGATAGATCGACCGCGTGTGAATGTGTATATTCGCTCTCTCTACACTTCTCCTCCGTTCTGCCGCCGCCACCGCCGCCGTCACCGCTACCGCTCGCTCTCTCCACGTCGCACGTCCGCTGCTTCTGCTTCTTGTTCGCACCTCGCACACAACAACCGACAAACCTTCTCCCGATTTTACTTCTCGCGGTCACACACAAACCGATACGATACCTACTTCCACGCTACTCAGACGGATGGATTCATAAATTCTTCTTCTCTTTCATAGCCTCCAACGTCTCTCTGCTCGTCTCTCTACGACAACTGACATCTGATCTTCTTGTGTATGCACCTCACCTTACCAATCTTTCATATTTAGTCTCATACACGATAACATGTTTAAATTTAGATACAGGGCAAATACCTACCTACCTAACATCAAAATAATTTCCATATTATATTTTTAACCGTTTTCAGTTCCAATTTATAAATTTGGTTTAAATTTAAAATTTTCCAATTTAATATTGATCACAGTGAGATGAAAAATTTATTTAAAAAAAGAATAAAAAGCTATTTTTTAAAGGGTTAGGTAAACTATAGTTTTTAACAATAGTTTGTTTTACTAATTACCAATAAGTTCTATATTATCTAAATTTAAAATGAAATAACAGGCGCTGATTATCTAGAGTCTAGACCTTGTTAAAATGAATTAATACATAATTTCAAAAAACTTGTGTTTTAAATTGCCACTAATAAGTTTTTATTTTAGTTTATCTTCTTATGTAAAACAAAATAACATTTTAAATTGTAACGAACTCATTACCTAGGCCTTGTAAAAATGAATTCATATTGTCGAGAACAATACAAATTTAAATTTATTATTATTAACATTCTATATAAATACAAAATTATTAGTATTTATATAAAGCCCCACTAATTGAAAAATAAATTAATTTAAAATATAAATATATTTAAATATAAACAAATTAATTTAAGTAAGTATTGTTTGTATTTTAATTATGTACCTATATGTACCTATATGTATACATAATATTTCTAGATAAAATATACTCCCCATTAAAAATACATGTGCCTATTTGATTTATAGGCGGTCTAAGAAATTTAATACAGAAGATATAAAAATTAAAAATGAATGCACATCGCGCCATCTATTGGATAACTGTTTTATTTGTACCTTTTTAAAAATACCGCAGCCTTTGCCTCATTTACCTTCATAACAGATTTTTAAAGATTAAAATTTTATAATTAAATTTGTAAATAAATATACCTATATATATAAAAACATTTCCATGAAATAATTTTTTATAATTATGTTTTTTAATCATGCTTTTTCTATCTTTCAGAAGTTTTATTCTTTTCAAGATTGGCATTTATTTTGTGTAAGTAGTTTTTTTAAATTTTTATTTAAATCATAAATTTATACATATTTGTATTTGTTGGAACATGAAAATGGATCTTTCCCATTTGTTTTAGTACAATAGTACTAAAACACTTGTTATAACACTAAGTAAAACAATGTTTTATAAAAATATAGGTAAACATCTATTAAAAAAATATAGGTAAACATCTATTAAAAAAATTAATGGTTAGGAATGAAGTTATTTCAAATTGTAAAAAATTACTAAAACTATTTTTTAATCCATAGTTTATAGAAAAAATTCATTGACAACATCTATTAGTACCTATTTTTTGTCAAATAATTGATTTAGTGAAAGTTAAATCCAGTAGTCATTGACATATCCAATGGATATGCAATAATGGCGAAAACAGTTTTATTTTTATTTTATCACACGTGTGATTCATGCAATGTACATTGCATGAATTTTAATTAGAAATCCATCATGAAAGTTCTACGCTATTGCAAGTTGACCTGTCAAATGGAAACATTTTTCACATACATGATTTATGAATGTACTTTTTATTTGTAGGACGCCAAGTAGATTTTACTTATACGACAAAATTATCGTCGTGTTTAAGTGTGAGAACATAACGGCGATAAATCAAGTAGGCGAGATACCGACGGCAAAATAACTAAAAGCGTCAAAGGCAACTAGATATGACTGATATCGTTACACCGTTGAGTGAAGATATTAACTCAACGGTAAAACGAACAAGTTACCCAGGTAACATTACGTGACTATCAATTTTTGGTTGATGACGATAACGTGACGACATGGCTTTATAACGTTTTATCGACATAAACTTGCTGTAAAATTTAAGCCTGAATTTTTAAATCTCTCAATATAGTTATATACTTTCCTTAAATTTTAAACAAGTGTTTTTCGATAAGACTTTTGTAACATACGTGACGAAATTTAAGTTTTATTTAATGAAAAGTATAATAAAGGCTTCGTGACGTTTTGGCGTATTTTTAAGTGAATCTTACGTGATGTTTATGCAACTACAATACAACTAAAAAAATATAGACATTCCTTTACATTGTTGTACGATTTGTTGGTAAAAAAATATAATTAAATTTTAACTAAATAACTTATCTGCATATATAAATCAATACAATTAAAAAAAAACAAAACGAATAAATCATATTTTATTTAAAAATTATTTGAACTTATTTTTTTCAAGTGGTAAATACTAGACATGAAAAGGAAATATGACAACACCGCTCCCAGGGCACAGCCTTCAGAAGTTTGACTGCGCAGATAAAGAAGGCTGTCTTCTTTATCTACGCAGTCAAACTTCTTTGCTCAGTGTTTGGGTGTGGTTCTGTGTTGTAGACGTTACAAAATCTTTGCACATCACAAAAACAGATAAATTTATGCTTGTTATATGGATAAATTTTAACCATATAGCTTCGAAAACATTCATTTTATCTAATCTATGATTCAGAAAGTGTGAGCAATTTATTGGATAGCTCGACGGTTTTGTACAAGTACCTACTAAGGAAGTTTCCTTTGTTTGGCGCTTGCCGGTAGTTTTTGCGTTGTTTACTACACGTGGTTCAACGATAGCCGCTGTGGATATAACCTTAAAAGGTAAGATTTTTATTTATTAATTTTTATTATGTTGTTTTTGTTTCCGCTATTTTTAGAATCGTTTAAGAAAATGTCTAAACGACAATTATCAAAACGGAGACAATATGAATTAACCTATCAAGCAAGTAAAATATTTTTAAACGAATTAAAAAGTGATCAGAATTTACAAGAACCGAGTCCTAAACCAAAACAAGTTGTGTCTACTGAAGAAAATACGATAAATGACTATAGTAATTTATTTTCTGATAATGATGATAGTAAAAATGAAGTTATCAATATTGATACCAGTAATAATTGTATAGATTTAGAGCTAAATTCTGAAAGTAATAGCAATGACGATGTAATTTTTGATAAAACTTTTAAAGAACAACTTACTGCATGGGCTATTAAAAATCAAGTTAGACATAACCATTTAAATGAACTTCTAACAATATTAATTAAAAATGGACACAGTGAATTACCAAGAGATTCTAGAACCCTATTGTCGACCCCAAATAAACTTACACTAACAAGTTTAGGGGATGGCAAATTTATGCACTTTGGATTAGAATCTGGTCTTATTCAACAGCTACAACGTTATCCACCCACATCTAATCATGTCATTAAGTTAAACTTTAATATAGATGGGTTGCCAATAGCTAGTGATAGCAATAAAAGCTTTTGGCCAATTTTGTGTCAAATAGTCGAAGTTGCCAATAAAAGGAAACCCTTTATAGTAAGCTTGTATGAAGGCCTAAGTAAACCAGTGTCAATGAATGAATTTCTGAGACCTTTTGTAACAGAGCTGCAGAGTATTATTGAAAACAATGTATTAATAAATGAAACCGAATACACAATAACAATAAATGCATTCATATGTGATGCTCCTGCTAGAGCTGCAATTACAGCAGTTCAGTCTCACACTGGTTACCACAGTTGTCATAAATGCACTGTTAAAGGTAGTTATGAAAATACTGTAATTTTTTCTGAAACCAGTTGTTCATTACGCACTGATAATTCGTTTAGACAACGATTACATCCAGACCACCACAAACCTGAAAAATCCATTTTGGAAAATTTACCAATTGATATGGTAGCTAACTTTACCTTGGACTACATGCATCTTGTGTGCTTGGGAGTAACAAAGAAAATAATTGAAATTTGGCATGGTAAACCGGGCAAAGGAAAGCTAAGTTACAGGGATTTAGAAAGTATATCCAATAATTTAGAAAAGTGTTTCAACTCCATGCCAATAGAATTTAATAGAAAATCTCGTGGTCTAAAACATTTTCGGAAGTGGAAAGCGACGGAGTTTAGGAACTTTCTTTTATATACTGGCCCTGTCTGTTTAAAGGGTATTTTAAATGAGAACTACTATAAACACTTTATGTCATTAAGTTTGGCCATTTATATTCTTGTGTCCCCAAAATATTGTCAAGTGTACAACGCATATGCAGGGCAGCTACTTCTTTATTTCGTTGAAAACTTTTCTGCACTATATGGAATTCGTAACATGACCTACAATGTTCATAACTTGATTCATATTCAAAAGGATGTTGAACGGTGTGGAGATTTAAATTCATTCAGTGCTTTTCCTTTTGAAAACTATTTGGGTTATATCAAACATCTTTTAAGAACTGCTCCCAATTCTATACAACAAATATATAACAGAATCCATGAAATAAATGCTGCAAATTTGGACGATGTGAAAATACAAAGAAATAAAAACCATATTTACTTGGCTGATTTTTCTTTATCATTAAAGAAAGGAAATAATTATGCCCAACTTAAAGATAATACAATCATTAAAATAAGAAGTTTTGACTTAAAAAGCAAACAATTTACGGGTTTTCCCATGGTACATTTGGAGAGTTTTTTTAGGAGACCATTCGATTCTACAAAATTTTTTATTGGATTACCAACATTCACTAATAATGAGGGGACTTACAAATTTAATGATGTTGTTTCAAAAATGGTTGTTTTACCATATGGAAATAATTTCGTTATTATACCGCTAAATCACACTGTTCAATAAAAAATGTAAGAACTAGTTTATTCTTAGAAATACGAAAATAGGAATGCACTACGATAGCGTTTAAATACAGAGTGATCCAAAATTCAAAGTACATATTTTAAGAGCGTATAATTGAGGTCAAAATAATAATATTTTTCTTATAAACTTGTGTCCTAAAATTAAAAAAAAAATCATATTTTGACCACAAAAATACACTCTTAAAATATGTACATGGAATTTTAAATCACCCTGTATAGTCATATTATTTTAAATTGATTGATGAATGTTTTTTTTTTAATTTACTGTGTAATAAACCGACCTATATTCGCTTACAGATAACGCACTATAATGTTCAAAGTCATTGAATTTGAGACGGGGGAGCTGGAGGTGGTACCGACTTCATGGGTTAAAGGTGATCAGGTAAAAAAACTGTTCATATATATGCTGGACCAGCACTGCTGGTTAATAAACACATTATTTACTTACCATCACTATTTTTAGGTTTACTGGTGTAAGACGGCCAGGGCTTATGCCAAAAAAAATTTTGATCCTAAACCTTCATGGAAAATCTACAAATGTAAAACTCGATATAAAAACAACACCTTTGGTAAGACCCTTTTTAAACTTATATAATTTATTAAATTTTTTTTATATACTAGGTAGGTATATCCATATAATACACTTTTTTTCAGCTACTTATGAAGAGGCTTCCAAAAAATGCAATGTACTACTTTACAAAACTGACTCTTCTGAAACAAGTAGTGATGATTGTCGTAAAAAGAAGAACACTCAAGATTCAGACTATGAGTACTATAAAGATATAGATATTGATATTGATGATTTGCCAAGTTTATCGCCCTTAAGTGCAGCAGATAAAACCCTTACCCCGGAAAAACTGGTTGAAAAAGAGAAGAGTGCAGCAGATAAAATCCTCACTTCAGGAAAACCGGTTGAAAAAGAGAAGATTCAGTCAATTGCTAATGCCCAACCAACTAACAATGTTCAAACAGCGGTCGATGTTGAATCAACAGGTTTTGACAATAGCGATATCATCAATATGGCTAATATCACGTTTGAACCATTATGTAAATGTGAAGGTATAAAGGTTTTTTTTCCTTTATGGTTCCTTGGTAGTAAATTTTACTTCTCTCTTCTTCCCATTGAAGTCTAATCTAAATTAGATTAGATTATGTAATCTTAAATTTCGTTTACGGTTTTTTATTTCATTTTGTAGCAAATTTTTCTCAGGCTATTTATGTAACTATCGCATTAAAAAAAACATTTTTATGCTTAAAAATATTATAAAAAATATTGGTTATTTTTATGCACATATTTTTATTGTAACGGTTTTCCTCTTTTCAATGTAAAAGAAAGTTTTGCTAAAAAATTAAAACAACATATAGGATTAGAGATTGGACTTCAATTAGAGAAAGAAAATTTACTAAATAGGAACCTTAATGAGGATTCACTGATTAAAACTTCAATTTTAGAAGTGAAAACACTGATAAGTTCAGAATTGAACAAATTTAGATCGGAACTTAAAATTTTGAATGATGCTGTCAACCAAAATACGAAATTAATTGGTATGTAAAAAAATGTATTTTTTAAATATTTTTATTTTCTTAAAAGTTTTCATTAGTATGAAAATACCCAATTTATTTATTATTTTTATTGTATTAAATGTCTTTTTTGGAAATTAACAGCGGTTTTTATTAGGAAGAAACTTACAGTTATTTGTTTAAATTTCAGAGCGATTCATAATTCAAAGTAAACGGGAGTGGGAAACGGTTAAGATGTGTCTTCAACATATTAATTTGGAGAAACCACATTTAACAGTTAATCCGGAATCAGAGCAGTTGTTACAAGAATTAATTCCAGTGTCTTCTCTAGATGATCTAAAAATTTTGGAAGAAGTGCTAGAAGAAGAGGACAAAAAATCTTATTTGGTAAGATAAAATTAATATGTACTGGATGTTATATTTCAACAAGTTTTTTTGTAGATTTACAAATTAAAGCGAATTGGAGGTAAAGATGCTAAAACCACGCTTTCCAATATAATAAAATATTGTTTTACAATTGAAGCACAAAAAAAGTGTAATTGGATTGGTGCTAACAACAAGTTTAGTATTAAAAAAACTCATTTAGTTAGCGCTATTGTTCAGGTACTTCTGGAAACCCAGAATAATATT